GGGTCAGGAAGGGCGTGGAGAGACAGCCCCCCCTCCATAGGAGCTGGCAAGTGGGGTTGGGTGGGGGGCGCGCTGGGAGAGGAGTTTGGGGAGGGGGCTGGAGAGGGAGGACTGAGGAAGGATGGGGCGGGCTAGGGGGCTCAGGAGGAGGCAGTGCGGGAAAGGAGCTGTCCGCACCCCCGCCCCTAGAGCCCGCTGCCCGGCCCCGGCGGCCCGGGAGGAGAGAGCTGGGCGCCCCCGCTTGCGCCTCCCCCGCCCGGGCGCGGGCTCCGCCGTCGCGGCCGCCTCGGCAGCCGGGGCGCCGCCACCTGCGCAGCCTGCGCCGCCCGGCCGCGCCGCCATTGGCTCGCTAAAAATGCCTCTCTAATCGGCTCGGCCGCGCGCTCCGCCCGCCCCTGACCTTCCTGCTTCCCGCAGCCCCGCCACAGCCCGGAGCGAAGCGGCGCTGCGGCCGCGCCAGCCTCCTCCTCCCCCGGGAAGCCTTCCGGGCTTGAGGCCGGGCCCAGGTGCCCCGCGTCGCCCCGTGGCGCCGCCCATGGTACCCGGCGCTCCTGCCCCCAGGTAGGGGTCTGGCCCTTGAGAGGGCTGGGGTGGGTGGGGACCCAGGTGGCAGGTGCGGGTTGCTGGTGGGTGCAGGGTGACTTCTTCCAGGCGGGGGGTTGAGGGGAACCGGGCAGTTACCTGGAGAGCGGTAGGCACACGGCCGGAGAAGCTTCGCAGGCGCCCCGGCTCGTGGGCATCACCCAGGCAATGCCAGGAGGCCCTTGCGCTGGGTCCCTGGGGGAGACGGAGCTGGCGAGGCCTTCACCCTGGGGAGGGGGGGGGGCGCAGGAAATGGGTTCCTTGGGAAGGTGCAGTGGGGCCCCGGTGTCCAGGTGTCAGGCAGGGGTGGGCGGGCTGCGCCAGCCTGGTGCGCAGCTATTTGTGGATCAGAGTGGGCTGGGGAGAAACAGGGCTGATGCTGCTGCGCTTGGTTTACAATTACAGCATTTCCTCTGGCACTCACCCCTTCCCCCACAGCTGGGGGTGGGCAGGGGAGCAGGGAGGAGGCAGTGGGAGGGAGATGATGCTCAAGGGCCGGCAGGTAGGGCAGGCGCACCGGTGCGGGCCACTGCCCTCCCCGCAAGCCTCAGCTCCCTTGCTGCCTGCTGGAGGCCCCCCCCCCCCTTCCCTGCTTTCACCTTGCAGCAGGCTGTGAAAAGGTAAAACACGTCGTTAGGGTTTGGGGGCTACACTGGCCAGGCCCAGCTTCAAGCCCCAGCTGCTCCCTGCCCCCCCGCAGCCCAGCTCTGCCCTCCAGGGCAGTGACACATGTGGCTGCTTTTTTTCTAGGTGCAACCATAAATAGCCTGCATTGCCCCCGGCACCTGGCACAGCCGGGTGCAAACCGGGGGCAGTGTGGCAGGGATTTTGGAGGTTCTGTCCCCCCTCCTGGCCTTCCCAGCACGGGTGCAGGTCACCACCCACAAGTACCCCCCCCCCCCCAGTACGGCTCTTCTGATGCCCCCGTGAGCTCCTCATCACCTGCCCCAGCCTCCTGGACCCCGTGTGCCTCTGGCTTGGGTATTTCTGTCTTGTCCGTTGCCCTGTGGAGCAGAAGTGCTCTGATCCCTCTCTGTCATTGCCCCTGCCCCTGCGCAGGGGGAGGCACCAAGTAAATGTGGACTGACTGACTGAATGAACGTGAACGTGGCAAAACAGAGGGCAGCTGGGAGGAGGGGGGCTCTCTGTCCACTCCTGAGGACCAAGAGCTGCTGGACACAGCTCCACGAGGCCCTTCCCAGGCCAGGAAGCAGAAGCCAACGCGGGCTGCTTTGGCTCCTGGAGATAAGAAGTGTTGCTCCAGTGGGGCTATTTTTTCTTTAAATCTCTCTCTCTCTCTCTCTCTCTCGTCAACATTCATTTATTTGAAAGTCAGAGTTACACTGAGAGAGGGAGAGACAGAGAGAGCTCTCCCATCTGCTGGTTCACTCCCCAGATGGCCGCAATGGCCGGAGCTGGGCCAAATGGAAGCCAGGAGCTTCCTCCCGGTCTCCCACGTGGGTGCAGGGGCCCAAGCACTTGGGCCACCCTCCACTGCTGTCCCAGGCACATAAACAGGGAGATGGATCAGAAGTGGAGCAGCTGGGACTCGAACCAGTGTCCGTTTGGGATGCTGGTGTCACAGGCAGTGACTTACCCTGCTACACTGCAGTGCTGGCCTCTCCAGTGGGTCTTGTTGGGCCCCCGGCTGGATTGCCCAGGCCTGGTCCAAGCTGGGGGGAGGCCTGAAGTGGAGGCGTGGCTCTCGGCAGGCACTGGGTGGCTGCCTTCTCGGGGTGCCATGTTCAGGCCAGGGATCTCTGCCACTGTCCCAGCCCTTA